AGTGCATATGTTAAAACTTTGTTTTATCCACTTATTCTAATAATACGAAGATCATCATCCTGTTGTTTTACAAATATATCTACATAAAACACATTTTTGATTTAGAATTCGATTAATTTTCTATTTTAGTATATTGTATTAACGTTTTAATTTGATGAGAAATATATCATGCAAATGTTCCCAGAGGACATCTTACAGTTCTATATCCTTTTGATCTAGCAATAGCACCATCATAACTTGGTAGACGTTTGCTTTCAAAGCTCGAAAATTTACAGATTTTCTGCATTAACATTATTCTTTACATAATCCCACAAATTTCATGGTCTCGGCTGCCTAAATATATCCAAAGCAGGACATGTTGTGTTTTATGTTAAAATAATTTGTTTCTTTAATTAAATTTGGACACAAATATATATTAACTACCAATAAATTGCATACAAAACCAATTCATATTCAATCAGTATGCTATACCTCTCACTCTTCCAAAGTAGGTACAATTTCATTTTGCTAAATTAAAACATCTCCATAAAAATGAATTGAAAGAACTGTGATAAATGTATGTGATTTGACAATTCGAAATTAGTATTTAGCAAAGTTAATTAAAATTTAACTTAAGTTTCATATTGTATGTAAAATATATAGCAAAAATTTAACACTAATATTAAAGCTATTTAGCATGCTGAATAAAAATAGCATGCTATTTTGTGCTTTTCAGCACGCGTTGAGCCTAATACAATAGGTAATTAGTTAGAAACTATTTAGTCACATCCTTGTAAATGCAAACGTTTAATGAAAACTATTTCTTTGTTTCTTAGCAATATAAATAAAATTTTTGAGATTAATTGAAATCATTAAATATTTAGGTGCAGTTAGAATGTAATAGTAGTGGTAAAATTTACTCAGATTGATTGACATTTGAATATACGCTGCTGCCATATAAATAAAAGGAGCGGTAATAAATTCACAATTTGTGAAGTTGCGGCAATGCTGAAGGTAAATTCTTTCGCAATAATTTTGTTTGGATACAGATGAGAACTTGCTATTCTATATATTAAAGATATCTAACCGTACACATTTTTATATATGTTTCAGGGCTTCAGAGTTCGACCACTACAATGTAAGCCATAAATGCCACGTAACTTTTTGTTTAAAAGAATTTCGTGCTTTTTTAATATTTGCGGAATCGTTAAATGAAAATTTGAGCTTAAATCTTGATGACGCTGGCAGGTATATACTAAAAAAAATCATTTTAAATCTTTTTGTGAAACTTTAATATAATTTCAGTCCAATTTTTTTAAAAATAAAAAAATATGACCAAATAGAATGCTTATTAATAATGTCCACACTTTCTCCTGACGATATAAGTTTCTATGAAGATTGTAATCCAGCTGAACTAACTAATGCCAATATAAGTATAAAGAGAAAATTAAACGTGCATGATGACGAGCATAAAAACCAATCAAAAACAAGATTTATAAGCGATGCATCAACACTCAGTAACGATTCACGACTTTTTGATGATAATGGTAATACACAAAGTGCTTCAAAGTCCGTAAACACACCACAAAATCTATTAAATAATGTTAGTCATATTTGTGATAGTCATGTGTCTCTACGTATGCCACCTGACTCAATACTGAAAGACACTGATTCTCCTGTTGCGTTTTATGATGCAGGAGAAATTGAGAACGAGTGTATACCTTCGTCGCCTGGACGAAATACAAACCGCATGCGGTCAATATTTGTTAGATGTTTCGAATCCACATATGTTCCTAAAGAACCTAAGCCGGGTTGCAACGTGTATATATCGGACTCAGACGCTGATTAAAAAAATACACAAACATACTTTTTTGTTTTTATTACTTTTAAATTTTGCAGATGTATAAAGTATTTTATATTTCTATTGGTGATATAAAATTTGATGTAAATATAAAGTTTGATTTCCCGAGCAAATCTTTTACATTTTCTTGCGATTGTTTGAGGTACGTTAAAGCTGCTTGCATAGATACCTGAAAAGTTAACATAAATGTTTTCTATACCACTTATTTTGCTCGATGAATGTGCATGAATATACAAGTTGAGTTAAAAAATAAAGTTCACCTGTGATTTTATTAATAATTGCTCTGTGTTTAATAGCTGCACAGATGCTGTAGTCACATCGTCTTTAATAGTATTTGTCAGCTCCTTCCAAATCGTTATATTACTTTCAACTAAAATTGGATTACGTATTTTCTACATATAGCTATTAAATTTATGTCTTACTTAGTTTTCTCTGAAGCAAATTATTGTTGTACTTATTTCCAGTGGTACTTTTTATTGTGGAATCAGACGTGTAGTAGATATCTATAGAAAATTAAATATTATGTTTACCTGGATGTAAAACCAAAATATTACCATCATCAGATTCTGTTGCTTCACCCAATATTTCAGATGCTAATATTGCTATCTAGAATATACATTCAAATGACACACATACATTTTTTAAATGGAAACGCATAGAACCTTGGGAGGAGTGCTAGGCACACCAAATTCCTCGTCCGATTCTGATGCTTCCCCGTAGACTAAATCCATTATATCAACTACCAAAATTTATGTCAGTTACAAATTTATGGAAACGCAATGCATAAACAGGGTTGTTATTTAATAAAATCATTTAATATATAGAATAGTGTTCGCATTATTTTCCGTTCAAGCTGCGCTAGACTGCGGTTACATTGCATGCGAATTTTGTCTTACGTGTTCGTGCGCACAAATCAGATGTACGTAACCATATGTGAGTGGCTACTGTTGCTGAGAATTTTTCCCGTGACGTGTTGTTTCTTTCATGCCAACATTTGATTAAACAAAATATTTTGTTTGAAATTCAATCGTTCGTACGAAATCGAAGGTGGAAATTGTAACTCTCGTTGTTTCATATAATAAGAAAATGGAATTTGTTATCATTTAATTTTAATTTTATTTTAGTGATAATTTAAGGTTTCTATTTTACTTAATAAAAACTATTGTATTTGGTAGAAAAGTTTCGAAAAGTAGTGACTACAATAACAAAACATTTTTTTTTATATTATTTTAATTAATTAAGTTTTTGTGAATACAATACAATACAATTCAACACAAGGAGACCATAATAATAAAACATTTAATTACAACTATGTACAAAAAATTATAATATATATTTTAAAAATAGTTTTATAACAAAAATTTAAAAAAATTTAGTTGTAATTATGTACAAAACTTTTATTAAACAAATTTAAGAGGAATTCCATTCGTTTCGGTATTATCAAACTTTCAATGTTTGTTTTGAATAGATTTTGACATTTCTTTTCAAATTCTTTTAACTTTTTTCTTTGCAGAGTTGCATAGAAAAATAATCACTATTTCTTAGGAGATTTAAAATTAATCTTGACCAAAACGAGGTTAGCTTTTGTATGGCTTTTTGTAGAGATTAAACAACGAAATTAGTACTTTAATCTCGATTATTGCTTTAATCTACTTTTAATCTCACAATGTAAATGTCGTATAACCTCGATGTTTGCTTTAATTTACTGTTAAGCTCACAATGTAAATGCCGTCATTTTAAGATTATATTAGCTGCGTTTCAGCAAACATGATCCGCTCAATTTTACATGCAAAACAAAAACAATGGGGTGAACCAGCAATTGATCTGGTCCACTTTCTGGTTCAATTATAAACACATCTACATTTATATTTATATAAATGTAGATGTGTTAATAATTTTACTACACCATTGCATCGCATTGCCAACCTCATTTGCATTAAAATACGTTCCACTTTTATCTTTTACATACATTCCACATTGAACCAGAAAGTGAACCAGATCAATTGCTGGTTTTATTGATTTTATTTATTTATTATTTATTTTATGTACTTATTTATTTAATATGTCATTATTATTTATTTCTTTGTTTGAAGTAATGTTTTAATTATTACTATTACTATAAATTAAAATTATTAAAATTATTACTTTAATTATTTACGTTTTATTATTATTAAAAAAGTGTTGTTTGATAATTTATGAAAATCAATTAATTTGAAATGAATATATAAACATTAAGTTGAATACATTTATTTAATTAAAGCAGAACAATATATAAGGAAACAGTCTCTCCAACATACACGTTTATAAAAAACCATTGCAAACTGCTTGCAAGTTTAAACTATATTCATGCTTCCTTTTGAAATAAGCCTAATTGCTATGGTGCGGTGCATTTATTTTAACATGTGTGCTGTCAATCACGAACGGAAATTTTGCAATTGATATAAGCTAAACACTATTTCTTTCAATTATTCTCCATACAGAAGCTTTTGGTATGCCAAAACAAATACCAAATTCGCGAAAAGTATTTATATTTGCCATATACCACAAAAATATGTAAATTTCCTTCATTGCTCTCGTTCAATTGTGACCACCACGGTTATTTTGTATTTGCTGATTGGATTTTATTAACAAATCTATTAAAATATGAAACATAATTAATATATAGCAATTGTATTTTTTATTCGCAAATACCAATGAAATAATCTTTAACGGAACAATTATTGATCGTTTCCATAAAATTTCCACTATATCCATGCTGATGCACTCCCTTGAGCTTAATACACTTGGACTAGTGTTTAAAAAGAAAATGGAGAAGTCAGTTTTGCTCGATAATTCTAATAAAATCTGCAATTTCCATTTAATTACTATAGAATTAAATTGAAGTTTTTAAGTAAATACTAAATAAAAACTAACATTTCATATTTCAGACATATCAACAGATTTTATTTATTTTCCATTTTTTAGATTTTTTGTATTCAAAATTTTCTCACTTATTTTTTTAGCGCCAAAATTATTCACATAAATCAAAAAATTTTGTACACAAACCCAACTGGCATATTTCATGCGTTGCCAATTATTTACAAAAAAATCTAAAAAATAGAAAAAAATTAAAACTGTTGAGCTGTGTGAAGTATTAAATGTAAGTTTTTATTTAGTATTTACTTTAAAACTTAAATTTAATTCTATAGTAAATAAATGAAAATTGCAGATTTTATTAGAATCATCAAGCGAAACTGACTCTTCCATTCCCTTTTTAAATACTAGTTCAAGTGTATTAAACTCAAGGGATGAAGTGCATCAGCATGGATATATTGGAAGTTTTGTGGAAACGATCAATAATTCTTTCGTTAAAGATTATTTGATTGGTATTTGCACATAAAAAATACAATTGCTATATATTAATTATGTTTCATATTTTAATAGATTTGTTAATAAATTCCAATAATTAAATGCAAAATAACCGTGATGATCACAATCGGACGAGAGCAATGAAGGAATTTTATATATTTTTGTGGTATATGGCAAATATGAATACTTTTTGCGAATTTGGTATTTGTTTTGGCATACCAAGAGCTTCTGTATGGAGAATAATTGAAAGAACTAGTGTTAAGCGTATATCAATTGGACACTAATTTATAAAATACGCACTTGCTAATAATGCAAAAGTGGAAACTTCGAAAAAATTCCCGTTAGTAATTGGTTGCATAGACAGTACACATGTAAAAATAAATGCACCACACCATAGCAAATAGGCTTATTTCAAAAGAAAGCATGACTATAGCTTAATCTTGCAGATAGTTTGCGATGAAAATGGTTTTTTTATAAACGTTTATGTTGGAGAGCCTGGATCCTTATGTATTGTTCTGTTTTAATTAAATAAATGTATTCAACTTAATTTCATTTCATTTCAAATTAATTGATTTTAATAAATTATCAAACAACACTTTTTCAATAATAATAAAACGTAAATAAATAAGGTAATAATTTTAATTATAGTAATAGTTAAAACATTATTTTAAACAAAGAAATAAATAATATCGACATATTAAATAAATAAGTACATAAAATAAATAATAAATAAATAAAATCAATAATAAATAAATATAAATGTAGATTTGTTTATAATTTTACTGCACCGTTGCATCGCATTGCCAACCTCATTTGCATTAAAACACGTTCCACTTTTATCTTTTACACACATTCCACATTGAACCAGAAAGTGAACCA